CCGAGCTCAAAAGGTTCGCCATCACTGAACTATTACGTTGCATTCTTCTAGCCTGGAGCTGAATGGCCTTGTTGTTTCCCTTCTCTGGCTGTCATTTTTTTTTTCATCTATAAAATGATGGGGTTAGAAAGTTTGATTTCTAAGGTCATGCCCAGATCTGATAATTGAAGAAATTCAGTGGTGAGAACAGAATTAAATGAGAGGATAAAAATGACTCTTCGCTGCATAGAGCTTGGTGATGGGTCAACTTTGTCTTCCAGACATGGGTATTTGCCATGTTCAGCCACCTCATTCTCCGGCACATGCCCTGGAACCCACTTATTTAAAAGTGTGAAGTAGTCAAGGGTGCCGCCTACTATCTAGGGCTCTCCCCATGAGAAATGCAGTTTAAAGGTCAAAGTCACAGCTTCTGGAATCAGACACTCCTTCACGAGCAAGGTGACTGTGTAAATAAGTATTTACTGTGGGTTTCCTAATCTGTAAAATAACACCATCTGAATTAGCTACTCACCCAGGGTAAGCAGGTGGAGAGAGTATCAGCTACAGGTAGGACCAATCCTATTATGAGAAAAACTATCACAACAACAAAAAAATGTTTTATTCGAGATTTTAGAATCCCAGGTATTAGCTCACTTAGAACAAGAAAAATGAGAAATAACAGAATTAGAAAGAAAAGAAAAAGTTAGCTCCTTGGTGCATATGGTAATTGATTTTGACTTTTATTTTAAAATATATAAGACGAAGGACCTAAGTCGACCAAGCACACTTGGATCTCTCTTGTCCTCATTCCCAGGGCCAAGGAAAGGCTAGTAGAACTGCGCCCAAACTGACATCAGGTAGCAAGAGCTAAAGGGGGGGGGGTAGCCGCGGGGGAGGTCCCATCCTGTGGCTTATTGCCATCACCTGGAGATACCCCACTCCCTAGCAAGCTCTGGCCTCGCTGGAAATTAACATCAGGGAATCAGAAGTTATTGAATGCACAGGAAAAGGAAATGAATTCCCCTTCTGAAGGGGCAGCTGGAAAGGGGTTGGACTACTTAAACCAGGGTTTACATTCCAGAACATTACTGAGGCCAAACACACTCCAGGCCTGAGCACCAGGAAAGCCCCTCTCCTTCCGCCCCTCTCCTCCCTCCCCTCCCCTGCCCTCCCCTTCTCTCATCAAGGCTGGAACACAGGGCTCCCAGGAGGGAGGGTTAGGAACCTAGAGCTTGCTGGGTGGCGCCCTGTGGTCCCTCAGGAAATAAGAGCGAGACAAAGGATGTGGGCTCCTGGAAGGCCCCTGAACTCAAAGCCAACCCATCACCTGCAGCTTTAAAGGCCCAGGGACACACCTCTCCTCCAGGATTTCTGGGACGAGGGTGGGGGTGGGAGTAAATATTTACAGTCACTCTATTTATTCAGCGGTTAAATATGTATTTTGTGGGTGCCAGACACAGACCTAAGCGGTTTACGTCCCTAATTCTCATAATCATCCTGAGATGTGTGTTCTTAACCCCGTATTTCCCTCGCTACAGAGCGGAGCGAGAGGCGCAGCGGAAAAGCGGCAATGTCCCCAGCAGGCGGCGGGATCCGAGCTGGGATCTCTCATTCCCAGGCTGTGGCTCCGGGGCCCCCGGTGCTCAATCCTACGAGGACACAGCCATTGGAAGGAAAATGTCCAGCTCTGTGAGTGGTTTGATTACTGTCATTGAGATTGAAATTTCAAGGAGAGAGTATCCAGTGCGTCTTTCCTGGGCCCCGCTCGGTCGGGCTACCATGGCGTTTGGAAAGAGTCACCGGGATCCGTTTGCGACCTCCGTGGGCCACCTTATAGGTAAAGGGGCGCGGGGGCAGACGCCCGGGGAAGGCTGTGGGGATCGGGGTCCCTTTCCGTTTGACTCCCTTCTAGGCCTGCGGAGGACAGAGTTGGTCCAAGTTGGAGGAAATCCTTCCCCACCCCCTGCGATTTCCCGGGCACTCGCATGCCACCCGTCCCCTTGGAGGCATTTCTGTATGGCTGACTCTTTCTAGAACCCCCTCCTCCAAAATCTGCCCCCCACCCCCACCCCCGTGCACGCCTTCTGGGGAGTAGACCGAACAGGTGAGCCCCACGCGGGACTCAGGTGTGGAGTGTCTGGGCCTCTCCAAGGATAGGACTTACACTTCTCTGCCAGGGTTAGTCCTAAGGGGCATTCTGGCGAAGGCACAGGATTCTTCTGACCGTTTTGCAGAGGAAGACAGAGGAGAGGGGTCAAGGAGGTGAAGTGATGTAACCTCCCTGAGAGGCAGGTCTCTTCAAACCTGTTCTCCCTGGCGCCAAGCCCTGACAACCTGAGTTCCTTTTCCCAGTAAACAAAGAGATTGCAAATGCTCGGACCTGGAGTGCAGGAAGTGGGGAGCGCTGGAGCCATCTGGAGGCACCAGAGGCCTCTCAAGGCACCAGGGCCCGGCAGGTATCTGCCTAGCTCCTGTCCCCTGTGGCTGTATCTGAATACGGTCCGCAGGAGCCAGTGACTGACTGTTCTACCAGCCCCAGCTCCCTTCTCCCTCCTCTCCCTGATGCCTCCTTTGGGAAGCAGGTGTGGCTTCGGTGCCTATGATGCCAAGCAAAACATGATGCTCTCAGGAACTTAGTGAGGTGAGGAGGCTCCGATCCGATCTGGGGAGCGTGGGCTGCAGCTTCATTAGCTGCTGTGTGACATGGAACACACCCCTTAACCGGATCTTTAGTTCCCACGGATCTTTAGTTCCCACGTCTTTATAAAGGAGGAAATGATTTCTAAATTGTTGCTGGCTATACACCCCTATTGGATAGGAAATAAACTCTGAGCAGAAATGGATTCAGAGCAGAAGTGGATCAGATCGCATCTTCACAAACCTGTTATTTTAATGATGCAAATGTTTACCGACTGCTTGGATCTGCTTGGCAAAGGCAAGAGCTGGTCTCAACCCTCAGGGAATGCACACTTTTGTAGGGAAGATGGACAAAATTTTGTAGTAGCTGTAATGTAGTTACCTTTACAAATACAAGAAAAATGTGAAACACCCACAACGTAGGAAAAGGGAGAAATTAAATCTGCCATGGCTTTTGAAGGGCGAATAGGAGTTTTCCAGGAAGTTTGGAGACAGAGCTTGGAATGAGGAGCAAGGAGTCTGGCAGAAGGAATGATGATAGCATGTGCCTAGACAAGGCAAGATTGGTCAGGTTTGTCCACTGAATGAATGCCAAACTCAACGAGTTCTTTTTCCCAAGAAGCAGCTTCCCCAGCCAAACCTGTATGCTTTCTTCCTCTGTTATCCTTTTCCATTTTCTCCTCATTCCCTCTGCGACCTGGTATTTTCATGCCAAGAGATTCTCTCCTTTCTTATAGGAAAGATGTTAAGCTCTGGGGTTGAGTGTTCCCACTACCCTTCCCAGACAGTATTTTGTAATCTTAAGGAGGATGTCTGGAGAGGGAAAAATACCCGAATGTTTAAGTAGGCCTGGCACAACTGTGGTTAGTACAAGTACTAGGGGTGACCTTGCTCTACTGCTAAAGGACACAGACAATTTTAGTCGTTCTGATCTCTTTTTCTTTTTTTGAAAATACGTTTTTCTTGATTTCAGAGAGGAAGGGAGAGGGAGAGAGAGATAGAAACAATAATCATGAGAGAGAATCACTGATTGGCTGTCTCCTGCACCCCGCCCCTGCCCCCCATTGGGTATGGAGCCTGCAACCTGGGCATGTGCCCCAACCAGGAATGGAACTGTCACCTCCTGGTTTATAGGTCAACGCTCAACCACTGAGTGCCACTAATCTCTTTTTCTTGACAGCTCCTCCTCCAGGTGAACGAATGATTTTAAGAAACAAAAAGTGGCATCAGACAACTTTGATCTGAACACTAGTTGTACCGGCTGGGTAGCCTTGTGTCCTTTTCTTAACGTCTCTGAACTTCTGCTTCATCCTCTCTCACAGCGGGTTAAATGGCGTTACATAAGCTAAAATACTTAGCTCTAGGCACTTCTCCTTCTGGGTGGCGGCTAGAGAGGTCTCCTCTGAAAAGCAGGCAGGCAGATGGAGATTTCCCCGTCCTGGCCTGGCCTGGCAGCCAGGCGTTTGTGCCTGCAGCCTGTATTAATAGGTCACTCATTACTGTGGCTACAGCAGCACTCTGAACTTGAGTTCTGATTGATTCCTCAATTACTGGGGATTGCTCAGAAAAAGAAAAAAAATCTCTTTGCCCTTTGGCAATGTCCCCTTAATGGTACTTGCTAACAAACTCCAGGCAGATGTATTCAGGAAGACCAGCCATTTTTTATTCTGTTGTAGCTCAGAGTCAACACAACAGTGTTTTTCTTTGCAGAAAAGGCTACGTTTGCGGGCGTGCAGACTGAAGACTGGGGCCAGTTCTTGCACATTTGTGACATAATCAACACCGCCAGCGATGGGTGAGTACCGAGTGTGGCTCCTGCCTCTGCCTCTGCC